TTCGGGTGCAATGTTTCATACATATAAACCTTCCTCTTGAATCACTCTATCTATTTAAAAAAAACTGCATCAATATTCGTTGCGTACTTTTACAGATCTAAGCATACATAGGGACAGACAGACAGCGGGACGACTTTGTATTGAATTGTTTTATACTGTTTAATGATGGCGCATGTCCATACTGCGCGGCGTATAAAAATTGTTCCGCTTTACATTATATGACAAATTTAAGTGAACGTGACAGATAATATAGAACGTGCGACACAGAAAGAGATAGCAGTGTATAGAATTGCAATCTAATTACACCAATTGGCGTAATTTGAGTGCCACGGTTTCTATGCGATAGTGTCATATCTACCACGTATTGTTTCTTTGTTTTTTTTAAACATTGCCCTTACTTTAGCATAACATTATACTGTGTTGTAAGGACGTTTTACAAACATAAATTTCACACGGACAAACACCCAGATGCGAAACAACTGTCTGCGGGTCACGCAAATAGTTGTCCCGTGTGGGAATCGAACCCACGACCCCCGACGCCGAAGCCGATACCTTGGCGACTGCGCCACGGAGTCATCAAATTTTATTGCATTTATATTTAATAATGTCTCACGCGCTGAAATTATTTAACACGACACCAAATAGATTTTAAAAATGTAGATTATATTGATGCGTAGAGGGCTATCGCAGTGCTATCTTCGTTTCCGTTGAAAAGGGAACTCATTTCATGCTTTTGGAATTCTGATGAGTTTTGATACTCGTATTGACTGTTATGTGAGCCGCCATTTTCTGACTAAGCGTAAAAACTGAATTAATAATGAAAGCGTCAAACGCCATGTTTCCTGTCATTTAGATTTTGAATTAAACACCCGTAGATAACTCTGTTTGGGGATTTATTTTTAGTTTTAAAATTAGACTTTAACAACAATGCCATTAATGTTTTATAATTATAACTTTTATGAGAAGAAATAAATATGATAAGGTACTCTAATAAACCTTTCTAATAACTCAAAAGTTCAGGTTTTAATAACTCGGCTTAGAATAAAGACCTTGTCAATTAGTTATGTTATAGCTCCGGTATTTTATGAAAATCAAACAATATAACGAAATTAGTGTAATTTAAGTAATAACTTTGTAAAAATAAGGAAATATTATAAACTATTATCTACTAATCCGACGAAATAATCTTTATAGTTGTTACGAAATTACATTTACAATAAGACGATTTATTATAACGCGTGATAACACTTGTTTAATAAAAATGTGTGAGAAATCGAGAATTGTCGAGTCATCATCAATTTCCTTCTTGTTGATTTGTATAAACAACTAACAATAAAAAAACAAAATAAGGAAATTGAACATAAGCAGACTGTACAATATAAACAGATAGACAGATTCCGCTAACTTCTTTCAGTCAGTCAATCATCTAATCAGAATTAAATAAAACCGCGATTATATTAATAAATTTGTATTCTTAAATGTACAATATACAGACAAGAAAAAAACTTATAAATTGATGAATGAACTTATAAAAAAACCGGTCAAGTGCGAATCGGGTTCACGCACGAATGGTTCCGTACCAGTACTAAATTAAACTATATTTACGAATGTATCGCGTTAATTTTGAAATTTTATTTCCCGCCATTTTGATTTTTTAGCGTTAATGGAACAATGGTTTACGGAACAGACTGAGTCGTTGGCAGTTTTTATATTATTAACTGTGTGTAAAAAGTAAATAAACGCGATAAATCCATAAATATAGTTTAAATTAGTAACAACTAGTTTTCCAAGATCCATTACTCTCATTACTTTGACGCAATTAAGAAGAATTAATGGTTCATGAAAAAAAAAAAGTTTAAGAAGTCGATGGATGCAGGTGGCTCGGGATCGTACTTCGTGGCAGTCTTTCATCAAGGCCTATGTTCAGCAGTGGACTCAAACAGGCCGAAATGATTATGATGATGAATTAAGAGGAACTGAAACGGTTAGAGAGAGACAAACGTCAATGCGTCCACACCTAAATATTACGCGGTGTTGTTAACGTACAAACCACGACAACAGGCGTCCACTAATGTTTTCGCGTGGGGAGTTTCAGGGGGGAGGAAGACGTCATCTCGCGGAAGGGAACTGCATTAGGCTGTATTGACGCTGGCTGTTTCCTGTTTGTCTCAAAATAACCCAAAGATAACCGCCGAAGCGTATATTGCACTGCCCAGGATAAGAACTAAATCGGCTAAGATTAACTCTAGTGATACCACGCGTTTAATACATTAAGGACAGTCACGAATTAAATTATTAACTCTCGACCGCATTTATAGATTTTATTTATATAGATAAGAGTAATAAATTCTCAAGTGAGGAGTTCATCGTTGATATTTTTTATGGAGAAACTAACGGGCTAACGAGGCTCTATTGGCAGGAGGAGTATGCTATTAACAATTATTAATGAATTAAATGCAAGTTAGGCGCCACTTAATTGATGTCCCTGGGTCCCATACAAATTACCATTTTTTATGGTGCACGGCCATTGAAATAAGTTCGAGGTATTCTTATTTATCACGTGCATGACACAAATTTTATTCAATTCTATGACAGTGCTCCATCCAAGAATTCCTTAAACGAATTGGATTTTAAAAAAAAGATTTGACGGTGTTGAAACTGCCTCTTAAGCCAGTGTGGGTTCGATTTATTTAATTTAAATGAACACGATTAGACTTTTACCTGCGTTTCCCATACAGACAGGTCAGTCAAAAAGGAAATTTACAAGACTGTCGACCCATATCATAGGATTTTAGTTTATATAGATGCAAGCACATAGGAATTTACGATAGTCAAAAGTCCCTTAATTCATCGTTGATAGATTTTTATGGAGAAAAAGGTATGTACGTAGGCTCTATTTTTGGCAGGAGGAGTATGCTATTATATTATAGATTAAATGCATCGAGCCACTTATTGATGTCCCTGACAAGCACATCCTAGACAGTATAATATTGACAAACAGGCAAGAAAACAAACACACACCTGTCCTATTTCTTATGCATGTAACGTAATTTTAAAAGATCGTTAAGATATTCTTGTTCATTGATTGAAAACAAAATAACACTCAAAATAGGAACGCGTGAGGTTTCGTCATGAACTACGTCATGGAATTACATAGATTCGATTACCTCTGTGGAATTATTTCGCGTCGCGTTTGAATTTCTAAATAGGCCGATGATGAATAGACAAATGACGTGTCCCTTTTAACCTATAACTTTCCGTCATGCGTTGAAACGTAACCGAACGTTTAACGGCAGGTTCGTTAAAGAAATCGATGGGCACCAAATCAAGTAAGAAGAATTTTTCTTCAAGTGTATCCTTGTGTAAAATGTCCCTTTCATCGGATGTGATTTGCTAGACACAAGCAGATTCCTGAATAAAATATTTGGGTAATATTGTACTACAAATATTCCATACGAACTAACACACCAATTAAGTTTTGTTTTTAAGGGAAGCAGGAAAAACTATGTATCCAAATTGTAGACATTAAATAATTTTAGCCAAAGGCATAATGCTTGCAATAACAAAACAAATTTTCCTGTTCATGGATTTATCAATAAAATTCATATTTATAAATTCGAATATTTAATAAGTTATAGTCGTCTTGTTTTATTATTTTATAATTATTTTGCATCACATTTTCATTTTATATTAACTCCTCCTCCGTCATTTATGAACCGATTTTAAAAAATTATTGCATCAAGTTCGATTTAGCTTCCATATGATCCCATATTAATTTTATTCACGTTTGTTGAGATAACCTCAGAGATAAATCAAAACTCCTCAAAATAAAAATAAAAATATTGCGGCAGTGAAGTTTTTCATTCATAAAATTAATGAAATGGTGAAACGACAGAATTTAATTTACGCCCATGCTATGCTATTCACAGATTACACAAAGAGTTTTCGCGCGCTTTCGTTTTTATTTTTCCTTTTCACTCCTTATATAGCTAAAAGGCTTTAAATTATTCTTTAATTTGGTAACAAACTGGAAAACTATCCAGTGTACTTTATTAAAATAAGTATTCATGTCGAAAAGGAAGGTTTTGTTACTCGAATATCTCGAGAGACTCGCAACGCGAGGTCACGAGTTTTTATTCCGATGATAGGATTTCTTTCGGACATACTCTTGGTTCTACAAAACCAAGGTGAAAGGCTGCATAGCATACCATGGTTTGACAACAGCCAGAAGATAGTTGCGTTCGAAGTTTTTTAACCGACTTAGAAAGAAGAGGAGGTTTCTCAATTCGACCGTATATATTTTTTTATGTGTGTTTGCGGATAACTTCGTCATTTACGAACCGATTTTGATGATTCTTTTTTTGTCAGAAAGGAGATATCCCAAGTGTGGAACCATGATAAGGAACCCCGAATCTTATGTTGGCATCCCAGAGGATTCGAGGTGCCGTCATTGAAAGTTATAGGTTACCAAGTCTTTAGTTTTCTGATTGAAGTCGGTTTTCTTTGTTAATAATTATTGAACAGTCCGCCATTAAGAGACCGAACCGCGTTAAGCTAACGAGCTGGCCACCCCACGCGTCTATTAATCACAGGCCAGCCACGAATTTACTCAGGTCCATTAACAAAGCGTCCAAGGCGAATCGCGTTCGCGCTAGTCCGCTGCACAGTTATCAACGGCGACGCGTGAGCACACAAACAGACAACTTAGTCTTCAAGCGACGTCCGACGTGTTCACAATAAGTGCGACATTTACAAGTTTTTTTTTTTAAACGAGAGATTACGCCGCTCGCTAACTGCCAGTGTCTTATTACGTGCGAAAAGTTTTTATTTTTTTTCTTCAATTACACCAAAGCAATTTTTCACTCTTTATTATCGTCAAGTTAGAGAGCGAGAGTCGGTTTTTTGTTTCGCGAAAGAAATTATCGCCTCAATAGCGACGAGCTTGGGCTCTTTTTCGTGGTACGAGAAAAAAAGTTCAAAGCTCCGCTTCGCTCCCCTCGATGGAGAGGCTCTCGCCGGAAGTAAGCACGGAGGGTGCGGTGCCACAGGACGGCCAAATCGGCGGGGTCGCTGGCAAAGTACTCGGACTGCTGCCGGTGTTTATCCTAATCCTGATCATAATCCTGAGGATAGTGTTCGTGTTGTACAAAAATACCGGTGAGTTTTTAAAACATCCTGTATTTCAAGACACTGCTACTGTTCATGAAGAAAGCATCACTGAGTTTTCTTTCTAATACTGCATAGTATAAAACAAAGTCGTCCCGCTGTCTGTCTGTATGTATGTATATTAGGTCTTTAAAACTACGCAACGGATTTTGATGCGGTTTTATTTAATAGATAGAATGATTGAGAAGGTGAGGAAGGTTTATATGTATATTTCATGCATAATATAGTAGAGAAGCACTGATATTTTTAAAGGTCTCTAACGCGATGTCGAAAACAAACATTCAGCATTGCAACCGTGCGAAGCCAGGGCGGGTCGCTAGTGTAATATCCTTACTAATATTATAAAGGCGAAAGTCTGTATGTATGAATGGCTGTTTGTCATTCTTTCACGCAATTACTACTGAATGGATTTTAATGAAACTTTACAATAATATAGCTTATACATCAAAATAAGACATAGGCTATATACATATTTTTATGTATATCTGTCTTTCTGTCTGAATGTTACGCCTTCAGCCTATTCTACGTAGACGTTGTCGCGGGCAGCAGCTAGTAAATCCGACCCGAATGGCGTAGTGGGTAGTGTACCTGCCTCCTGCGCCAGAGGGTGTGGGTTCGACCCCAATACTGGAAAGTATTGTGTGATGAACATAGTGTTTTAGTGTCTGGGTGTTTATATATGTATAATATGTATTTATTTAAAAAAGAAAAGTATGTTTAATTATGTTTATCAGTTCTCTGGTACCCATAGTACAAGCGTTGCTTAGTTTGGGACTAGAGAACGTTGTGCAAAAATGTGTCCTAAAATATAAAAAAAAAACTTACGTAAATTTTTTTCCTCTCTGCCATTCACACGAATACGTATACTTATTCAAACATTACTATTGAAAACAAATAAAAAATAGACAAGATCCTTATAATAATTAGATTAGATAGCACGGGCCGCCGCAAAACTAAAAATTCAACAAGTTAGTTTTCAAAATTGTAACGAAATGTTTTATCTGTTAATAAGTTTTGCTATCACGGCTTTTGTTATTTTGTTGGTTGCGTTTTATAACGTCAACCCACGCGGAAGATGTTACGTGTATTTTTCTAATAACGCTTCCTGAAACAAACGCATCGTTTATTTGCAAAACAGATTTCTTCGCGAATTCCATTCGTTATAATTGCTTCCTGCCAATCCCTTCCGTCTTCTGTCTTTTTTACTAGTGCATTCCTTTACACGTATACATTTTTCTTTTAATGTCAAAAGTTGTCAAGCGAGATGGCTGTTCACTTGATGGATACCACCGCCCATCTACAAACAGTACCCGAGGGGTTTGTCGATGCGTTGACAACCTTTAAAAGCTGGGCACCGGCTACCTCACTCACAAGATGAAACGCGAATATATAATAACCTCCAATTCACGCCGGTATGAGGCCGTGGTATTTCCCCAAACTAGCCTGCCCACTAGTGCAACAGCTGAAGCAATTGCGTATCTCTACCACAGTAGAGTCAAATAATTGTCGTTTGCGTTTTACGCTTGAACTGAACTGAGGATATATTTTCGTATTTTCCATCGCGCAAAACGTTTTTAGTATAATATACGAAAGTCCTTTTTAAATATTGACTGTACGTTATAATTTCTTGTATTTACGCGATTGCATATTACAAAATGAAACTATGTTTACCGTATCATGTCCCGTGATCATGAACCCCCGGGTTCCGAAACGGCGGGAATCAAAACAAAAAATAAACGCGATAAATCCGAAAGCACAGTTTAGTATTGACTGTACGACCGTTAGCAAATAAGTGCAAAGAGCAAATAACCTGATCCAAATGCGTTTTATCAAATCGTTCGAGTAAGTCTAATGTAGGAATGGGTAAACAAGTGTATAGAATCAATATTTAACGCAAACTGCGCCGTTAGCGAAAGTTTTCCGATTCGTCATCACATCCATGGCCGTGAACATACATTTATGACAAATAAAACGTCTTGCCGGTTGTAGTTTCAACCGAAAACCCGCAATACGTAAGCGCGTTCGCTAAAAATTATGCCAAGGTACACTGGGTTCGGAATTTGGAAACAATACCATTCGCAAACTTGACATCAGTTCTGGGGACTTCACTGTAAGCCCACGATGCTGCCGTTGCACGAATGGGTAGGATAAACTGGGGATGCCACGATCCACCACGGATGAATTGGAAGTCGCGTTTCGTCTGCTGAGTGAGGTAAGCGGTGGGCACTTATTGAAAGGCTGTCAACGCATCTACGACCTTTCAGGTGTTGCAGATGTCCATTGGAGGTAGTAATTGTCATTAGAACCGCCCCCTAGTTGTTAGCTTTTCACGTAACACAAAATTAGTTCAGAAGAAGCCCTTTCATTTTTTTTATGTGAGGAGCTGGCGGTTCTCCTGATGCTAAGTGATAAACGCCGCCCATTGACATTTGCAACACATTTGTAAAGGTTTAATTTTAGATAGGTAATTCTGGCCGATTATATTTATGTATTCGTTGAATAATACTTGGTTTAAAAAAATGGTCATTTTATTTGGAAAATAATTTGGGGCCAGTGGGCCTCCACTCCTTTGTTGTCCCGAGGCCTCCAGACCTCTAAGTCCGGCCCTGATTAGCACACTAACCCTTCTACCGACCGTGAAATTATTGGCAACACCCGGCCCAATATTGAGGGCACATACAGGGCAGCCACTTAATAGTTAAAGTTTCCTCATTTACAATTTATTGCTGACTGCGATACAGTTAACCTATAAATTTTTAGGTTTCCGTACCAAAAGGGTAAAACGGGACCCTATTACTAAAACTTCGCTGTCTGTCTGTCTGTCCGTCTGTCATCAGGCTATATCTCATGAACCGTGATACATAGACAGTTGACATTTTCCCAGATGATGTATTTCTGTTGTCGCTATAACAACAAATACTAAAAAACGTAAAAAAATAATTAAATGGGGTGTCCATTCAACAGACATGATTTTTGCTGTTTTTATAGATAATGGTAGTCCGACTCGCTCTTCGCCGGCTTTTAACGTATTAATATCTAATGTAGACTTCTCAAAGTTAACCACATAAATTAGTCAGACCATTTATGTAACTATATATTATTTATTTAGATGAATCCGTGGCGCAGTTGCCAAGGTATTATACTTCGGCACGGCGGGTCATTAGTTCGAATCCCACACTTGGCCTTCAGAGGACTCCTCTCCCCGTGCTACTGCCAAGGTCCCCGTAATTTTCTGACCGGGAGTCCTACATGCTGCTGCCTGATCTGGTGGTAGGGGATCCCCCTGGATCTCTATCCAGGGGGATCCCCAGCCACCCTTTTTAACCCACGTCGAAAATGGTTAGAAGGCGCGAGCGTTAATCAATCTTTTGTTTCTGGCTCAAGCCATTATTTTCTTCTGTTCCGCTATAAATAACGCGGGGTAAATAACCTCATTTCATAAGCACATAATCGCTTTGTGTATTGACAATAACGCTGTTACAATATCATTGATTAAATACGACGCTCCTATAAAATGCCCAAGTAAATATTTACAACGGCGCTCTCTGTGTCAGAATATCGGCTTCTAAGCTGTGTTCTGTTTAACACGCTGGTCCGTGTTAAACATTGCTTGATTTTTTTTGAAAAGTTGAGTTTAAATAACAATAATAAATAAACAAATATTGAGGGGGCGGGTGGTACATTTTCACACAACGTTATTTAGTACCACAGTAAGAAAAACTTGTTCTATGTAACTCCAGTGGGGTTCTAAATGCGTTGCCACCTGATAAACATACTTAAAATACTTTTATTTTGTAAATAATACATATAATGGACATACAGAGTGTCGTTACCTTCGTGACAATAAATGAACACACGTCTAACGCTACTTGCCAATAATCATAAAAAATATTAACGTTAAACAAAATCCATAATTAAAAAAATATATTTTTCAAACAAAGTAATTAAATAAAAAAGAAACAAAATTTGTAACATCCTATACAACTCGCGCCATAGCGTCGCATTACAAGCCTCTCCTTCTAACAGTATGTTTCGTCTCTTTTAAACTCATTCAAACCATTCATATGCTTTGTGACCTTTACAAATGAACTTTACGTTACGCTTTTATAGGTAAGGGTGTTCTAAAATTCTTTGTTTTGGAAAATTTAATAACTCTGTAAATGATGATGTTTAAAGAATTTAAACGTTTAATACAACTTTAAAAAGTTATCACCTATATGTGTGTTCATTTATTGTCGCGATGGTAACGACACGCTGTATAAACACCCACTAGAAAAACAGTTTGTTCTTCATGTAATATTTTTCCAGTAGTGATGATCGAACCCACACCCTCTGGTGCATGAGACAGGGTTACTGTCCACTACGCCATTTGGGTCGTCAAAAAATATAATAACCTTTTTGGTTCATGTTTGTATGGGACAACAGTGTATGCAAAGCTTTTTGCATGTTTGGAGTGCACGCGAATGTTTACGAGCTAACATTTAACAGAGTGAGAAGGAGTATAATGTTTCCACAGCACACAATCTTCCGTGCCGTGGTACTGGACTAGTCTGACCATTCTTCCAGTGGTGTGCTGCGTGGCCCTACCACAGTTACCATAGTTATCACAGCAGCTGCTCCCCCCATTAAAAAAGAAAAGTATACAAATCTATTACTATATTTTTTATTATTATTCTCTACTAAGCCTCGAGTTTTTGAGTGGATTATCGATCGCTAAGATATGAGAGTCATGAGACAGTGAGTCAGCGCGTGTTGTTCTAGAAATAATTTCCAGAAACACAAAATCCGGAGTGCGTTCACGGTGTAATCGTGAGACGTTTATTTGTATAATGCGTGAGATAACTCTGTCAAAATATTGCCTTAGAGGGAATTGAGTGATAAGTAACTATGCGGATGTATTTATTATTCGATTTTTTTTTCTTTTTTTTATTTAAACATTGCCCTCACTTTAGGATAACATTATCCTGTGTTGCAAGGACGTTTTACAAACATAAATTGCACGAGGACAAACACCCAGATGCGAAACAACTATCTGTGGGTCGCACAAATAGCTGTCCCGTGTGGGAATCGAACCCACGACCCCCGACGCCGAAGCCAATTCCTTGGCAACTGCGCCACGGAGTCATCGGTTTAATTGGGATTTTTTAAGTGACAGAAGAAAAAAACATAAGTTTCGTTTATTATCACGTTGGTGAGGGTACAAAGCGGCGTCTGCTGATGCAAAGACCTTCAGTGCTGCACATGACCTCACGGGAGACTTGAACAAAGTATTTAACTTACTGCTAACCTGTTTAGTGAGGTAACTGGCATCGACCCTCATAATGTAAGTCACGCGGCTGCGATCACAACCCAAACTGAACATTTCGAGATAGTTGATTGGACTAAAACATTATTAAAAAAAATCCTGACAGTAGCCTGGGCGTAAGTTAACACATTAACGCCCGCTTTCTGAAACACTGATCATCGTAGATATCAACTAATCAGCTGTCAAATGTATGTATGCTGGAAAAGCCGTTTAGTATAGTGGCTAAAGCGTTCGAGTCCCACAGCGGCGACAATCTTTCCGTACTTTTTCTACAAATTTTCATTCCTTTAGCAACTCAACATTTGAAAATCCATTTGATTAATTGCCATCTACGATGATCAATATTACAGAAAC